ACAATAATAATAATAATAATAATAATAATAATAATAATAATAATAATAATAATAATAATAATAATAATAATAATAATAATAATAATAATAATAATAATAATTTATTGCCATTGTAAGTATATACACATACAATGAAAATTGTATGAAGCTTTTGTTTCCAGTTTTGATTAACCACAGTTTAACGTTATCTCAGGTTTGTGGTTAATTTTAATCATGCTTTGCAGAGACAATTCGTTTCATAGATCAAAGGTTAAATTTTGAAACACATTATAGCTAAGATTTAACACTGTATTCTGCATTGCCATTGTAAGTATATACACATACAATGAAAATTGTATGAAGCTTTTGTTTCCAGTTTTGATTAACCACAGTTTAACGTTATCTCAGGTTTGTGGTTAATTTTAATCATGCTTTGCAGAGACAATTCGTTTCATAGATCAAAGGTTAAATTTTGAAACACATTATAGCTAAGATTTAACACTGTATTCTGCTGGGGGTGGTGAAACAATCTACGGTTATGCATAAATGGAAGCAAAAGCATTCAAACACTTCCTTGCAGATGCCCTAAAAAGTGAAGCATAGTTTTGGAATACTCACAATGCTTTTATTCCCCACCAGATGTTAGAAATGTCCCCTTTTGAATATGATTAATAGCAATAAACTAATAGGGGAAGAAAGAGAATTAATTATTATTATGGTAACTGTGGCAAAGTTAACATTTGCAAAGAATTGGAAGAACAATAATTAGTACGAAGGAATGGTATAAAGAAATGTGTAATACAGCCATTAATGATAAATTAGTCTGTGAATACAAGATTGGAAAAGGAATATTGAATACAATTAATTTTAAAGAAATAGGGAATTTATTTTTGGTACACGTGTTTGAGGAAAGGAAAAGTTATACCCCTGGAGAGGAATCACTATATTTCTGGAGAGAAATGGGGCAGTTAGAAAATATAAAGTAAAATAAATATGCAAAATAGTCTCAAGGAAGGGTGGGGAGCATACAGTCGAAAATGTGTGCTATAATTGTGTTTCTTTTGTCTTTTTAAGTTGTGTTAGTGTTGTTTTGTTTATTTGCTGTTATATTATTGAAAATTAACCAAAATATTTAAACAAAAAGAAATCTCCCCCTTTTTTGGATCCCTCCACAGGATCCCCCCAGCCTAAAGGTTTTCTAGTCCAAAACTTTATGTTTCTGAATTCTTGTTCTTATGGCCACACTTCTAGAAACCTTATTGGCCTTTTGGGCACCTTGCTCATGTGGAGTAAATTCTCTAGAATGGGTTGGTCATTCTTGTCCTCCTGATTCTTTCCCAGGAGCATCAGCAGACTCTGAGCTGGAAAGGCAGGACGTGAGGCCAGATCCAGAAGGCGGCATGTCTCCAGAAGCCGCCACACCTTCCAAGCCCACTTCTCTGGATCCTGGATTGCAAGTTTCAGCAAGCCCAGGAAATGGGTTTGTCAGAGCCGTCCGGGGCCCTGGAGCCACCGATGAATCCAGAGAGGTGAAAGATTTTTATTCATTTGCTTTCATTTGTATCCCCTCCAGATAGGGTGGGCTACAGCTCCCAGCATCCAGTGGATGTACTTGATGGGGATGATGGACACTGTAGTCCAGCCTGTCCAGAGGGCATCAGGTTGGGGGACTACTATCTTATACCGTGACATCATCAAACCTAGAAAGCAAGATGTGGGAAAGAATACCGTTTGGGATAATAACTTCCCACCCTAGCCTCCGCTGGCGTAGCAAGTGTCCATTCCGATTAGGGAATTCTGGGAAATGTAGTCAAAGAAGCAACATTGCTAAGGTTTGCTCTCCCTTCCTCAGTGTTTGATGCAGGTGGCATTATTGCCTAATCATGTCTAGCAGGTTTGCAAACTGACGTGGGTGCTCTTGAACAGTAAATTCTGCATGTTAAGTAGTGTTACTTATTAATTCCTAAGCAACTGAGGTGTTAAGAAGTAAGTTAATAAATAAGTACGTATCACTCCTAACCTATTAGTCTGTTGGAGAAAAAATAATCAGTAAGCTTAGGGTGACATACGCTTCCGTAAACACCAACCCATTTCCTCAGATTCAGTTATCTAATAATATTTTATATGTTTTCCTCCCTCCTGTGCCATCTTTTTAGGGCAGTGTTGAATATCGGCGCAAGCAAAAAGGTACGTGGCATCTCTTCATTTCTCCCTTCTCTGGGGGCATGAATGAAATGCCCAGCCTGGCCTTCCTAGCCTTCTCCCCGACATGCTAGCCTTTTGGTTTTCTTTTACAACGGACACCCAGGGAATGATGGCAGACTGGGATGGGGAAGGAAAAAGAAGGTGTAGGGGGTGGAGCAACTGAGGTTGGGACAGGAAGCATTCTGCACTGCAGCATTTTGTTGCAGACTCCGCATATCATAGAATCCTAGAAAAGTGAAGTTGGAAGGCCATCGAGTCCAACCTCCTGCATAATGCAGGAATACAATCAAAGCATGTCCTCCAGGTGATTATCTAAGTTTTTCTTGAATGCCTCCTGTGTTGGAGCACTCACCAACTCCCGAGGTAACTGGTTCCACTGTCGTACTGCTCTAGCAGTTAGGAAGTGTTTTTTCCCCCTGAGATTCAACCGAAATCTGGCTTCCTGTAACTTGAGCCCATAATGTTGTGTGTCCTGCACTCTGGGATGATGGGGAACAGATCCTGCCACTCCTCTGTAGGACAGCCTTTCAGATATTTGAAAGGTGCTATCCGTTGCGTGTGTTGATTGTCCTCTGTAGGACAGCCTTTCAGATATTTGCGTGTGTAGATTCTGAACTGCAGGTCTAAGGCAGTGGCTCCCAACTTTGGGTAACTTGGGACTGCAGGTCTAAGGCAGTGGCTCCCAACTTAGGGTAACTCGAGAGTTCTTGGACTGCCATTCCCAGAAGCCGTTACCACCAGTTGTGCTGGCTGAGGTTTCTGGGAGTTGCAGTCCGAGAACACTTGGCTTACCTATAGTCGGCTTTCTGGGAGTTGCAGTCCGAGAACATTTGCCTTACGCACGGTCGGGAGATACTAGTCTAAGGGGATGAGTTGGAACTGAATTATGGACTGGTGTTTGCTCTCAGGCTTTAGGTCCATGATTCCCTTGCTATGTAATGACATTTTCCCCACCCTTTTTTTGCTTCTGGTAAGGAACGGCCACCAGGCTCAGCCGACGGCGGATTTCCTGCCAGGAACTGGGGCAGGTGGATTGCGATGGCTGGCTCTTGAAGAAGAAAGACCACGTGGGCTTCATGGCCCAGAAGTGGAAGCGGTTCTGGTTTGTGCTGAAGGGGCAAACCCTCTACTGGTACAGCCACCCCAACGTGAGTGCCTTGTCCTTGCCCAAGCTCAGAATGTTACCTGTGGAAGGAGTGATGGTTGCATCACTCCTTCCTTCTTGGCAGTCAAGATGCCACTGTCTCTCGTCTTGAAAGTAATTGGTTGTATTGTGTTCTATTAATGTGTTGTACTGTCATTACTGAGGTTTCAGAAAAATGGGGGGAAATGGGGGGAAATGCTTCCTGGTTCCCTTCAGTGATCACAGCTGATATTCTATCGTGGAAATACACATAAGAATGCAAAAGAAAAAAAAATCACTAGCTAATGACCCTGATTAATCACAGTGATAGATCATCCCCCCTTATCACAACAAAACACCCATAACAAAAAAGAACCCACACCTCAATCACAGGAATCACCCAATCCCCTGAAATGAATAAAAACCTGAGCTACAAATACTGAACTATACCACACGCCACACCTCAATCACAGGAATCACCCAATCTCCTGAAATGAATAAAAACCTGAGCTACAGATACTGAACTATCCCACACGTTACTCCAGAACACAGACAGAGTTCTAGCTCCTTTCCTCTGAAGATGCCGGCCACAGAGACTTGTGAAACATTAGGAAGAAAAACCTCCAGAACACGGCCAGACAGCCCAAAAAAACCTACAACAACCATTGGATCCTGGCCATGAAAGCCTTCAAGAACACACACCAAAAAAATCACTTTTGATAGATAAGAGAATAGTGAAAGCAGTTCTAGAAATGCCTTGAAATACTCTTGAATAAAAAGTTATGAATGCCTAAGCAGGCCTTGGGTAGGAGATGTGTATTTCAAAATAGTGACTTTGGTCTCAGTAGAAACGCCCGTTGGGGTGACACACTCTGCTCAAGAGTGTCTGATGCTCAGCCTTCTGTCCTCATGTTGCGAACTCCTGCTGAGTAATTTCAAGGCCCGTCATGGCTCCTGCCGGTGGTGGTGGTAGTGGAGGAAGGAGGCAAAAAAAACCCCGTTTGAACCAGGTTTTGTACTATGGCTGGCGTCAAATTTGGACACCCGACATTACCTCCAGATGAGGTTATACACAGAGTTACAAGAGATACGTTGACAGGATTGAAGGAAAAGGACAGTTAAAACATACCACCATTTTGGTAGCCTTATTCTGGCATTTCTTGATTTGTTTTTAACATTCGAGGAGTGTCCAAAATTAGAGGTGGCTTGGGCCCCTCTTGGTCTCTGACACGGCAGCTTCAAGACATTTGCTTCCCCTCTGATAGTTCTTGATCTTTTAAAGCAGATTTGGATGGACGGCCCTTTGGGTGGAGCAGGGAGCTTTGACTGTGAGGCCCTCCAAACGTTGGGGAGCGCCACTCCCCTCAGGTCCCGGCCTTATCCACTGGTAAGGGGTGATGGGAGTTGTCCAACAGGATCTGGAGAGCCACACGCCTCTCATCCTCAAGAGTGAGGGGGGTCTTCTGTAAAACAGGACATGTAGCCCAGCTTGAAGGCTAGCCTACAGTCCCTTTGAGCGTCTTTTCTGCTTTTGGCGTGGTGAAAGAGATTTGTACAGCATTTCAGACAATCTCGGAAGAGCGGAAGCAGTTTCAGTGGCTGAGCTCATAAAACAGTTCTTGATTTTTTTTCCCTTCTCTCCCTTTCCCTCTGCGACCCCGACCTCCAGGATGAGAAGGCTGCGGGTCTAATCAACGTATCTGCCTACAGACTGGAAAGCACAAAGGAGCAGAAGAAGAAATAGTGAGTAACACGAATACATGTTCGTGCGTGTGTGTGTGTTTGCGTGTGTGTATTTGTGTTCCAGAGCTTGGAAAAGTTCCGATTTTTAGATCACACCTCTCAGAATCTCACAACCAGCATAACCAGGGCCATTCTAGGAAATATAATCCAAAAAAAGGAGAACTTTTCCAGATTCCTCATGTGAGTCTTGTGGGCCTACTCTGGAAAGGTCTCAACATTTGCGATAAGACCGGGTGCCTTGCCTTTCACATAAGGAGGAAAGGAAGCCCGTCATCTTTTAAAGGCACAGATGGAGAATGTGTGCTCATCTAGATATTGTTAGACTAGAACTCCTCTTGTTAGCCTCGTTGACTCCTCGCCACTTATCAAGCTAGCTGGGGCTGATGGGGGTTGCAGTCTGGCAACATCTGGAGGGCCACGTGTTCCCTAGCACCGCTTTAAGAAGACCAGTGTAACTGCTAGGGCAGACTGCCTTGTGGCTAGGGAAGGTGGGATGGAAACGAGACCAAAAATTTCTTTGTTCTGCATTGAACAGCTCAACTGGGCAAAAGAGTTCTTTAGAGTGGGAAGCCGTACATTTGTATTGCATTTCATGGTGAGTGGTTCTAATTTAAAGTGTTTCAAAATGGCTTCTAAATTAAAGGCCTTTTAGATTTGCTCTATGTCTGGCTGTTGAGTGTTCTTTTATAGGTCATAACTTACTGTGTTATTAAATGTGTAGTTGTATTCATTTTTAGTTGTTTGTGGGCCACTTTGGTAGAAAGGTGGCATAGACATGAAATAAACTAGCCAACCAACTCCGGAGGGCTGAAGAAGGATCCCCCAAAGTTACTGGGTCTGGAACACTGCCTGACTTTTAACCACCGTAGAACTGCAGAGCTGTATGGATGTAAGGCTGGGTCAGAGGTGGGAATTCTCCTGCCTTCTTAATGTATGAACAGTACTCATGATAGCTTACAACAGGAAAAACTCCCAGTATTTCATCAGAAAACAGCAATAACAAACAGAATGCGCTGGAGGCAAGACAGCACAGATAAAACCAATTGGAACCTCAGCTTCCTGGCAAGGCAACCATTTCTGCTGGAGTTTTTTTGTTTTTTAAAGGCTTCACTGCTGGAAAAAATATCCCACAGAGAGCAGGCCCTGTCTGTCCGTCATCTCATCAAGTTCTTATTTTCATCTTAACGTAACACTAATTCTTTGCCTGTTCCGTGTGCACCAGGGAGAAATTATTCACCTGTTATGTCCCTTGAGCAAAGAGCCAACGTGGTATGATAGTTACTGTTGAAAAGGGCTGCGAAGGACATGGATTCAGGTCCTCAGTGAAGCCGATTGGGTGACCCAGGACTGCTGCCTGTTTTAACCTAACCGACTTCACAGAGTTTTGAAGATAACAATTAGGAGGACAAAGATGACCATAGAACAAACTTGGAGAAGATAGTAAGGTTGACATTAGCTGTCATGGCCATTTTCACACCATTGTGGCCATCCATATTGTGGGTGAGAATCTTAACCGCAAAGAATCCTGAGATAGCATACCGTTTTCATCTTTCTCTCCCTTTTTTTAGTGTCTTCCAGTTCACGCACGAGACGTACAAGCCCTTCATTTTTGCAGCAGAGACCCTGGCTGACCTGAGCATGTAAGTAAATAAAGTGTGTGTGTGTGGGGGGGGGAAGCAGTCTTGAGGCCCACCCTAAAAGCAGCTCTAGAGACTGTCTGTTGCTGGCCTTTAATCCATCCCCCGGAAGCTTTTGAGATCACACTGCAGTAAGGAATTCCAGATGTCCTTAAAGGCATGGGCACAACTTTATTGTGAAGGGCTCTCAGCGAAGAGAACTCGTCCTAGTCCAAGTCCGGCCAAGGCAGGAAAAGAAAAAAACACCCCCTAAAACCCTGAAGAAATCTAAGGAGTGTCTGTCTGTTATCAAAAGTTTGAGTTGGCAAATTCCTGTGTGGTTCTCCAGCAGATTCCAACAGCACAGTGTAAGGGAGGGCAGGGAGGTCTGGGTTGAATAAAGCCGTGGCAAAGGGAGTTGAGCTATAAAACAGGGTGTGTTTTCTGTTTTTAAATAAAGAGGATCTGGTTTGAAGAGAAGAAGGGAGGCATCTAAAGATGGGCACAGTTCATTTATCGGCTGGACAGGCGTTCGGAGCTTCAAAGTCCTGCCTCCCCTGGCAGTCACCCACTCAGAGGCAGAGCCTGGGGGAGGCGGGGCAGGGAAACCAGGCTGCTGCCTCTGAGTGGGTGCCTGCCCGAGGAGGCAGGATTTGAAATGCCAAACACTTGTTCAGTGATAAACATACCAGCATGAACTCCCAAACTGGCAATGCTGATAAAGTGAAAGGCAGCAGTAGGTTAAAAAAAAATAAAAGTATCAAAGTGTGTGGAGGTGAGAGGGAGGAATGCTTACATCCTACTCCTAATACTATTGTGAGCTACCTCAAATCCCCCATGATGGCACAGATTCCATGCACATGGGCATTCGGTCAATTAGATTGAGATCTGCTTCTATTCAAAAGCAAAGAAGAAGAAAACCAGTAAGGCACACCCACCCTACCTCTTGAACATTAAAACATTGTTTTTTTTATTATATTATTTTATTTTATCTATTATTTTTATCTGCCCAGAGTAGACTTCGGTCTGGATGGGCGGGGTATAAATTTAATAAATTAATAAATAAACTAAATATATACCTACTGTTGCCTTGCTGGCTTCTGCGTGGTCTAAGCCAAAAGCATCTGAAGGGACAGAGATGCACGTTCCTGAAACAGAGGCTGCTTCCCAAGGCTCCAGCTACAGGGATACAGGTGATGAAAACACCGGGGACCTTTCTGGTGGCCTTGACTTGCCTGTTTCTTTTCTCAGGTGGGTGAGCTGTTTGATAACCTCAATGATGAAACATAATCCAGTCCACAAGTCTGCCCCGCCCAAGCAAGAAGGTGGGTTTCTGCTGTAGATCATCGTCTTTCCTAGAGAGTGAACCAAATATTTTCTGTCAGCAATTTAAACGTTGTCTTTAAAACAGACAGGAGTTCCCTCACAAACATATCCTGTTGTGAAAGGAACAGTAATAGATTTAATAAATATTCAAATCCAAGGTGAATTTTTAAAAGTGCCTTGAAGTAAATTATAGGTGCCCAGTGAGCGACAGGGGGCAGGGGGTAGGGAGGAAATGAAAGGGGCATTCCAGAATTGCGATAGTGCCGCAATTTCTGTGGTCCTAAACTCCCTTTTGTCGGTAAGTGGTGAGGAAAACTTTTTGCCCCCAAACCTTTTTTTTCCACTGGAACTCTTGAGAAGGTTAATGTTTCAGACTACAGCTCCCCCAATCCTGAACCTGACACACCGGTTTGGGATGAGGGGGACCCATGCCAGCCGTGGGTGAGGCCTCTTTCCTTGTCACACGCATATGCAATCCCATTTATAATTGTGTGTATCTGTCTTTGACAACACTGCTGCACCCTACAACTCGGTTTATTTTTGTACCTTCGGTGGTGTTCACCCTTGTGGCCCCTGCTTGTCTTTCCCTCACAAAGGCTCACATCGCGTTTTCTCCTCACTGCCACCAGTGGATTGCCTCAATCCACAATATAAATGACGTTTGTCTGAACACTTGACTTGTGAACAGAAACAGAACTTATTTATTGAAGTGAAGCAGATTGAATAATAACAGAAGTTTCTCAGATAAACATTATACACAAGCAAATCATCGACAGTTCTCTCGGTACATACTTCTTGTCTCTTGCTGTATCATTGCCATTCTCTACCTATTTTCTTAACCAGCTTTGTCTCTCTCAGTATCTGTTCCCTCTCTCTATCTGACTAACCAGCCCTATCTGACTCCTCCTTCTCCCGCCAAACCTCGTGTAGCTGCTGACTCCGCCTCTCCAGTCCTCTCATAGGCTCATGCAAATCAGCTCATGAATATGACTGGCATGAGTGATGTGGGCGATCGTCACACCTTTGTGCACTCTAGATGGGCTGGACTACAAAGCCCATTGCCATGCTTAGCTGGGCATGGTAGGTACTGTAGTGCAGTCTGTTTCGAGGGCGCCAGGTTAGCAAAGGCTTACCCAGTGAAACGGGATTGGAAGAAGATACGGAATGATGTGCCCGGTTTCGAGGTTTCTATCAAGGCAATTTCTCTCTGGGTTTCTCTCCCTCCAGATTGCTACAGTGAAACAGAAGCAGAAGACCCAGAGGATGATTCTCCCAGACAAAGCCTGGAGCGGGTGAGCATCTTATCTGTGGAGGGTCTACTTCTGTGTAAATTCTGCAAAGAGTAGTGCATATGGGGCAAAATCTCCACCCCACTCATTGGTAGAAGTGGATTTTATGTGTGCGTTGTAAGGATGCATTATTTATTTCCTTAAAATATTTGTGCCCCACCTGTCTCCTTAAAAGGACCCAAGGTGGCTTATGTCGTTAAAAAGACAGTAGTTAAAAGCTACAAGCAGTATGTAAGTAAATACTTTAAAAAAGAAGTCAACAACTATTATCTTTAAAATATTAAATAAAATCAATACTAAAAGCACATTTAAAAGAAGCAGATCACAGCGATTCATTTAAAAACTTCTCGGACCACCAGTCACTAAGGAAAAGCCTGCCTGAGGAGAAAAATCTTTGCCTCGCTTATAAATCCCCCCTTGATTGTGAATCCTCCCCCAACCCATTATGAAACGGCAAGGTCGTTTTCTCCAGGAAAGCTTTCGTTGCTGCCATAATAATTCGGTGCCACTTATTTAAATTCTGTACCCATGAATTCTGCTTGGGCCTTGTTTGGGCTTTTGGAAATGAGGAACTGCGGCTGAAACCCTGTTGCGCATCTCCACGTGCACTGTGGTGATGATGTCGGCAGCATCAGCAGAGAGGCCGAGGAACGTCAGCTGCTTCAGCCGGGCTGCAGGGAATCCATACATCTCCTGTTACAACAGCTTTACTGGCTGCTGGTCTGTTTTCAAGGCTCAACTCAAAGCATTGGTTATCATCGATGTTGCTCGGATCCAGGCCACCTGAAGTTCTGTGTCTCCCCCTTCCTGGCCCTTAAGATCTTCAAGCGAGGCTCCTGTCAGACAATGTCTGGTGGGAGCGCAAAGGGGTGTGTGCTTCCTCTGTGGTTGCTCCCATATTGTGAAATGCGCTCCTTAAGAGGTTAGCTTGACCTTGCTTTCATCCTTTCAGCAGCAGAACTGCCTTTTCAAGCAGGCTTCTGATAACCATATTGAGTAAGATTCATCCCCTCTGAATGTTGTGCACAGGTTCCTTTTAAATATTTACATGACCTTCTAAATTACTCTTATACATCATTTACTGGGTTGTTGTGGATTTTTTTTAACTTTTTAATTTCTTGTGTTGTAGTCTAACTCAATTTAATGAACCGCCTTGGCTCCCTTCACCAGGAGAAAGCAGCCCAGAAATGAAAAAAAGCAAAATCCAAATTAATTAAGTAATTAATTAATTAAAATAAAGTTTAATCATCATGGATGAAAGGCAATTTTGGGGTGCATGATGAAGTTGCATGCATTCCAAAATCACCAAGGGAAGTCTTTCATCGGAGGCCATTTGCTGCTGCTGATGGTGATGATGACGTCGTCATTGTGCACAGAGAGCAGTGCAAGAGGATTTCAGCCATGGCATTGACCCATCCCATCTTTTTGATCAGTCAGACATTCCTTCTGTGTTCGCTACGTGTGTGTTTTGCTTCACGAAAGGATGTTTTGGGCAGAGGCAGCTTACATCCCTTTCAGGGATGGGGGGGTGGCCACACAGGGGGGTCTTCATAGCCACTGCCTTTGCACCCCTGCTCTGCCTTTGGGTGGTACACCCCTCTTCTGCCTGGATGCTGGACCTTTGGCCAGGCGATTCAAACATCTGTGCTCGAATGTGACCCCGCTTGGCTTGTCCTTCTAGAGATCTCCTTGTTACTGCTCACGGCATCCTCTAGCAAAGGATGTGATCACAGAAAATAATAGGTGGCGATTTGGACAGCTTGTGGAGTGATCCCATGAGATTTGTCTCCCTGCCATCACACGATACAATGGCAAAACACCCAACTTCAGTCCACACCCACGCTGGACTTTTTTTGATCCAGCTGTAGGGCTTCTAGTTTTGAGGGCCAGGCTGGAAGGATTCTCCGGCAGACAGAGGCTGAAACTTGATCGCAACCCAACTCTGATTTCCTTACAGCCGAAGCGAAGGGAGTTGAGGGAAGAGCAGCTGCTAACAGGTGCCACGGCGAGCAATGAGTCTCCAAGCAAGAGCCCTCGGGACAGCCCAGCCCTGGGGTCCAAAGAGGACAAGAGCATGCCATCCCCATCTCCCACAGGTGAGCTCTCGTTTAGACCTCTCAAGCACCTCTCAAGCCTTCTCTTTACCCAGCAACCTTTCCTTATAGGGCTTGATTACGAGACCTCACACCGTTCTTTTCCTAGAAGGTACGTTTTATTCCCATAGTTCATCCTTTTGAATTTGTGTCTTAAGGAGATCCTGAAGGAGACGACCTTGAGTCACTCATGAAGTGCCTACAACAAGGTGGAGTGTCTCTCATTGGGAAACAGCAGGTGTTCACACGGGAATACTACAGGAAATCTTTTGTGAAGCGCAACAAAAACCCGGAGATCAATGAAAAGATACACCTCGTCCGGACTCTTCAAAGCACACTTAAGGTAAGTGGAGCGAAACTGTTTATGGGGAAGACCAGAGATGGGAATGGCTGGCTGGGGGATTCTGGGTGTTGTAGTCCAAAAAAACCCCACTACCCAACCCAACTTTTCCAAGCTCTGAGAGAGGCCACTGTGGGAAGACTGGGAAACAGCTCACCCTACTCTTAGCACTTTGGATTTCCAGAAGAATTGTGGAATGTAGGTGTATGGATCCCAAGAATTGTGGAATGTAGCTGTAGGGCGCACAAGAGTTGTAAACATATAGTACTAATACTACCCTATCCTTGTCTGAAAGCCGAAAGTTAAAAAGAATGCAAAAGGCACAGGGGCATTTTCTTGAGTTGTAAGAAAAGGGAAATAAGTTCCTAATTTAGTGTTGTCCTTCCAAGCATGGTGTCTCTGCATAGTTCTGTCCTGGCAGACGTCCTGTGGTATGGATGAGCCTGAGAGTTTTATTTATGGCTCACAGCAATTTGAATCCAGGTTATAGGGCAGCACTCTAATCACTGTGCACCATGCTGGGCCTCAAGACAGCTATGTAGGCATTTCCCCCCATATGGAATTACAATGGTGCCTCGCAAGACGAATTTAATTCGTTCCGCGGTTAATGTCGCCTTGCGAAAAATTTGTTTTGCGAAACATGTTTTCCCATAGGAATGCATTGAAATCTAATTAATGCATTCCTATGGGCAAAAAAAAGTCAGAACAAAGTCCAGTTTTGGTTTACAAAGGATTTATTAAGTGCTTGTTAAAGCCATACATATTGTGCAGATGATTTAAAAAATTTCAATCAAAATTTTTAAACTTTTTAAACATCATAGAAAAACATTTAAAAACGAGCAAACATGAGGCAGGAACAAAAAATTGGAAAACATTTGTCTTGCGAAGCACGGCCATAGGAACATTCGTCTTGCAAGTCATCAACCCCATCGCCAAAACCATTTGACTTGTGAGTTTTTCGTCCTGCGAGGCATTTGTCTTGCGAGGGAGCACTGTACTGACTCCTCGGTGGTTTTTTAACAAAGAGAAGGAGCATGTCTGTAAATGTTGCTAGACTGCATCTCACACACTCAGTTACCTTGGCTAGAGTTGGTGAGAACTGCAGCCCAGCACCAGTTTGCCCTTTGGTGCTATAAGGCAGCGTAAGGTCAACTCTACAGGAGGAAGGGTGTTGGCAGCCTTCCTCCACAGCAGACTTTGAGGGACCACTTCACAGGGAAGCCCTTTGTGATATACATCTTACTTTTAATACCCATGCGGGCACTATTTTAGTTTTCTGCTTAAAACGTCAGGATACGTTGGGAGAAATCTGTGGTATTGGAAGCTAGAGGGGGTTGTGCATCAATGTCATAGGAACCTTTACTGCCTGCGGATTCTGAGAGTCATAGTCCAAAAAAAGGAAGATTTTGGGTTCTGATGTTTGAATAGACTCGCCTGGATAATAAAAGGGGGGAGCCTGAAGCTCGGATGTTCATGCTGTCATCCACGCCCCTGTCCTTCTGAAAAAAAAATGGCCAAATGCACCAACATTGAGAATGGAACGTTGCCTTTCCTCTCTAGGCAAAAACTGCCGAGCTCCAGCTTCTTGATATTCTCCTGGATGACTCTGAATTGACCTCTGAGAAATTCAGGCAGTGGAAAGAACAGCATCAGGAGCTCTACCAGGAAATCCAGGCATGGTGGGCCAAGAAAGTGAGCCAAGAGAATGGCGCAAGAACAGACTGTGTCTCTGGCAATAGCCCAGGGGATCTTATTTTGGCGGCTGCTCCATAAATCCTTTGTCAGCACGATACAGTATGTGTGCGCTGCAGGATTCGAAGTCTCCAGGCAGTGGTGTACTTAGGTAATTTTAGACTCTGGACTTCATGGTCCTGTGGGGTCCCCTGCAAAAATGAGGTAAGATGCATTGGGGGGGTTTCTCTTCATTATTTTGGATGGGGCCCCAGACCTTTGACCCAACATCTTGCCCTGACAACGCTGTTGGCTCTTGAGGGAATCTCTCATTTTGGAGAGTTCACTGGATAACAAAGAACTTTTTGCTGAGCTGAGAGAAGAGGAAGTGAGTTCAAGGCATGATAAATATCTTGATGTTAAAAAAAGCAATGACAGAAAACATTCTAAACAATGCAAACGTGAAGCTCAGCCCAAAAACACCACGCGGCTGCTTGTGTTATCAACAAATGGACATGAAAAGGTCAGCATTCAAAGCTACTTAAGGGTGCCTTCGTTAAAGGTCTTTGAAACATGTTTCAAGTTGAAACTCCTTCAGGTGTCCTTAACTAAGAAGAGGTACATAATAGTAAATCATTATTTTACATTTTTAATGATGGTAGGAACTGGTTTTTGGTTAAAAGACTTGGGATAAATATGCAAGACTAGATGAAATCTTATTATTTGTATTAATAAATGATTGGAACAAGTTTTTTTTAACAAAAGAAAGAGTCAGGTCTGTCATACATTCATTTCTATGCTCATGTTTACCTTATCTTCAGAATAACTGCTTGCAAATGTCTTGTCATATAATATACATCTCATGTGACCATAAATTATAAATCTGGTGAAATAGGGCTGAGTACATTCAGTCTTGCCAACAGCCTTGGATTGGAATGCCCGTCAGTCTAGCCAGAATAGGAAATGGGGAGGGATGATGGAAGTTATAGTCCCTCAACAGCTGGAGGGCCACATACACTCCCATAGAGATGAGTCAAAGCAGTTTGTTTCCACTGTTAAATCCACTTTCGGATAGCAGAATCATCCTTTGGTCTTCTGTAGTCCTCTCTGAAATCTAGCATTGGCCTGAATGGTGTTCCATCTTTCCACTGAAACTTCTTCAGTACCAGCCCGGACCAGTGGCAGGTTTGAAGGAGGCCCTGGCTGAACCCTTTGGCAGACTTCTACCTAGGTAGGTTTACAGAAACCTATTTGAAAGAAGCAGCAAAGATTTTAAGTGGTGCTGGACTTAGAGATGGGGGTATTCGTATTTGTATATGAATACGAATATCCCCCCACACACACACAGGTGGAGATAATGAGGGTCGAGCCTCATCATCCCGCCTTCTACCAGGACTGGCTGATCTATCACAAGCAACACAGTGATAGGAAAGCTCATCATCTACTCTTGCTTCTGGGCACTGGGAGAAATTCAGCAGCCTTCCATATTTGTAGTGTTTTAGAGTTCCTCTAAAGGTACATGACTCTGAATTCTGTTTTGACTCAAAGACTGCACAGCTACCTTTTTAAAAAAAATATTGAGCACAGGCGTCATTCCACTTTTAGTCCTCAAAACAATCCTTTGAGGTACACATGGGAAGTAGAAAGTCCTTTGACGCTAACCTTTTCGTGATATTTTACACAAAAGAACACTTTTCATCTCTTTCATCGTTCCCCAAGGCGGCTGATGACAACATTACAAGCACGAACATTTGCTAAAGCAACTTAAAATGGATGGATTTATAACAAACGAGAATAGAGATCGTCTCATAATAAAAGATAACAAAAGACCAGAAGAAATAAAAGGCATAGCGGCTCAACAGGACCTTGGTTATAATCTACTCTTCCATGCTGACTTTTTGCTGAGAGAAAGAGAGAACATAAGCAGTAGTAGTTGGTACACCAAGTAGTACTCAGTGCTCTGGCCAGGGATTGGGGTGAGGGAGGAGAAGAGGTGGAGGCTTGAAATGGAGTGCCGGACCAGTGGAGATTGGTGGCTCGGATGTTCTAGGTTAGTGGATCAGTCCTAACTTTACCGCAACCATCCAAAATACTGAACTCTTATCTCCCAACATAATTTCAACACCTTGGGTGGCTCTTCCTTTAAGATTCAGGCTTAATATTGACACTCTATACCTGTGATGGCAAATCTTTTTGAGCCCGAGTGCCCAAACGGAGGGGGGGAAAAACGAGCAGGTAGCGATGGCGGCAGAAGCAGGCAAATCTTTTTGAGCCCGAGTACCCAAACGGAGGGGGGAAAAAAACACGAGCAGGTAGCGGTGGCAGCAGAAGCGAGAATCCCGTGCACGGAGGTTCCTCCAGACCCCACTCCGGATCCGCTTCCAGTTGTGCCCAATCCCCACCACTGCCTATAGCTTGGCTGGCCTGCCAGCGCCAGCTGCTGCGGATCCTGGCTCGCCGCCTGTCGGGGTGGTATCACTGCGGCTGCAGCTGCCTCCTCAGCTTTGGCTGCCAGGGGTAGCGATCCAACCACTTATGGCTTGCGTGCCCCAAAGAGAGGGCTCTGCGTGCCAGCTGTGGCCCACGTGCCATATGTTTGGCATCGCTGCTCTACACGTTCATCCAGTGCATTCATGGATCTCTACAGAAGAGTGGTGTCATCATCTCTAATGCAGTGCTTTTGACTGCGACATCAAACCCTCTACCATATTATGAGGGCGCAATAAAAGACGTTGCTTTTGGTTTAAGGAAGATCTTCTTGCGCTGCTGGGGGGAAAAATGTAGACCATGAGTTTAGGATGACCCAACTGGCTTGCTCCCCAACCAGCCTCCAAGGCTTGTTGACTTAGTGTGGAGGTGTTTGTATGTGGTTTATGCGCATAATATTTGATCAGGACGTAGTGCAGGAAAGCAACCTTGCCTGTCATAGTCTCTCACGCGCAAACACTGTGTCAGCTGCGCCATGGCCTGTGACACCACAGACCGCTCCCTTCAGGTTCTGGGCCTGAAATCTCATGGAAGAGGTAGACCTGCGAACCCTGCTCACCACGGGCCACTCAGTCGCCTGTTCTGGGTGCGAAGTGGAGGCCGCAAGTGGGCCATTGCTCAGTCGGCTGTTTTGGGGCGAAGCCTTGTATGGTACTTCCAGGCCCTCATTTGCTATCCCTTCTTACCTTCTTTCACTTCACACAAACAGGACTTCATTATTTTAAACAGAAGCGTCCTCTAAAACAGAAGATCGTCTTTCTGAGATGTGTTTATTTTGGCAGTCAAGGGTCTGAAACTTCCTCCCAGCTAACCGTTAACGCCTTCCCTTTTCCAGCACCCACCCATCAATGAGTAACTAGGGAGGAATGTTTGTGACACAACACGGCACAAAGGAACCAGAAAAAGCTTCGATTCAATTCCGAATCCTTGTGGGCTTTTGTTGTTGCTGCTGTTTTGCTATGTTACTATCTCTTTGCTTGATAATATCGACGATATTTAGCATTTCAAAATAAACAAGTACAACTTGTTTTTGTTATGAAGCAGTGCTGAAAAAAATAAATGAATCTAGTCCAACATGAAGGATGATCCTTTTCGGACTGCATCTCCCACACACACACTTCAGTGCCGGCGGTTGCAAGTTAGGGCTGGTGGAATTTTTGGTCCAGTAACAGTCCCCACCCTGGCTTTGCATTCTTGATCCACAAATCCGACATGCCTAATTGAAATGACCTTGGCAGTAGTATTTGCACATTTATCTGGGAGCAAACCCAGGAAAGGCAATGGAGCTTACTCATGTAATGGCAGACATGGAAGTGGATTAATCCATGTCAACCAATGAGGAGCATGCATTTTGTACAGCTAATGGTTGTTAATTGCCCATTTTAAACCAAACCTCCCTTAAATACTTCGCATTATTGCAAGGGATAGCTTGCAACAATTTGCTGTTTCGGAGAAAACCCATTCTCTCCCAGCTACTGTAAGGACTGCTGCTAAGCTCAGAGGGAACAGGAACACTTACAAGTGGTGAATGATTATTTCATAGCCTCTCCAAGCAGAATCCCCTGGAGTTTTAATTTTAGATGCCCTGGTTCCATCACAGCACCTTTTACAAGAAAACACATAAGACCGTGCTGTAAATGAATAGACAAAGCAAAGATTGACTGCTTTAACAACTGAGTTACCTTCTCTCATGCTAAAAGGAGTCCATATACGTACAAATATGAAAAAGAATTAAACCAGTATTATGTTTAAAATGGTAAAGACTGCCGTATATCACAACAATTTCAGTAACAGAAAATTATCATGATTTATTTATTTAAAATATTTTTACCCCACATTTCTCCTTGGAAGGACCCAAGGCATCTTACATCATTCAAAAGACAATATTTCAAAGCTACAAACAGTATCTATACAAATATGAAAAAAATTAAACAAGTACTATATTAAACACAGTAAATAAAAGCAGCAGATCACAATGGATTAAAAAACTCTTCTCAGACTGCCACTCACTAAGGAAAAGCCTACCTGAAGAGAACAGTCTTCAGTTGCCTATATAACCATGATATGATAGAACCTACCCCTGGCTTTTTGGTGAAGAAGGCCTGTCTCTATCCTAATTAATTCCCCTATATTTCCTGTTTACATAAAAACTATTGCTACCTTATTCTAAAGTTGGTTTCACTCACTGCCTTTTAGGTTTACTGTGGAAATTTGCGGAAATACACATATTATTGTTATTAACCATATTGTTTAGATGCCCACATGATTCTTTAATCTCCTCTAACATATACATGATATATTCACTGTCAACTTTGAAGGAAAAGAAGCAATTGATTTGCATATGTGCATAATATCGGTAGAAATACAGTGAAAAATAACATAATGAAAAAACTGTTTATTTTATTTATTTATTTAACTTATATGCCGCCCACTCTACCCAAAGGTCTCTGGGCAGCTTACAACAATTAAAATACAATTAAAATACAATAAAAGATAAAATGATTAAAATACAATTAAATTAAATACAATTCACTGAGCAGGGGCAAATTCTCGACAGGCGACCTCAGTGCTTCTTCCTGCTCTCCTTTTCTATGGCTCTTTCTACTTTTGAAGCAGATTTGGGTTGGACAGCAATTCAGACACATGTTTCCAAACAGAGGGCTGCTCCTTGTAAAGAGAACACATGGTCACCCTGAACACAATACTTTCCTCATTACTTTCACATTGAAAATCAAGTCAGTCATCGCCAAACCAGGAATACTGGGGTGGATGGTGGTATCCTGCCTCATACAGAGAGGGATCATCATCACCTTAGAATGACAGAGCTGGAAGGGACCCTACTGGTCATTAAGTCCAAACGCGGTCAAGAAGGCACAGTGGGGAATTGAACTCCCAGACAGATCTCTAAACCACTGAGCTATCCAGCAAAGGTTTCATTCCAAGAGCCACTGACCCACATTCTTCTTCTTCCAACCAGCTGTAAGGTTTCATTCCAAGAGCCACTGACCCACGTTCTTCCAACCAGCTGCACCCAACGTCTTCTGCTGCTCTAATAATCTAGTCTGTAGGGCACAGGTAGATTCCTTAAGCTGTGTTCCTTCTTTCTGTGGAAACCAGTGGCCAAACACACCCCAGCCAAGATCTCGGCTGCTCCTCCACTCCAACCTAGATAGATGGATGTTCCAAGTTGGTATTTGTCCTCAGGCGAGACCTCTGGATTTGTAAAGTCCGCTAGTGTTCGATATGCCATGAAGGATGTAGCACAGAGGTATAAGCCTCCAGAGAAGACGTGCAAGAGCCCGGAGCCTCCTATAAGGCAGTAGTTTGGGTGGCCTGACCACCAACGTGTCCCGGCATGGGAAAGAAAGTAACCCGAAAAGCCCGCAAGCACTGAGACGACAGACAACGCCCTCACCATCTGAACAGGCCAGGAAAGGGCCATTTCCTCTGGAATAGGTTGACATACTATGTTTTGTAGGCTGGTGACCTCCACGCAGCTCTCCCAGAGGCCATCGCTGAAGAAGACATCTTGAGGGAAGCCAGGTCTTCGGGGAAACTCACGCCATTGTGGCGTTATCGTAGCGGCCAGCATCAGGACCCACCCCATGGGTGCCAACACCAAGCCAAGCACTATGGCGCCAGTTGCCATTGCCCCCTTTTCAAAAGGGCAAATATCTCTTCTAGGTGGAATCTGAGGTGATCGTTGAGGATAGAATCGCAAGCAGGAAAACAATTCGTCTTTTCTAAACAAAAGCTTAATCTTAGACTTGTCCGGTTCCCAGACTGGGAAAGAATAGGAATCCAAGTTGCTGGGCTTTATAGTTTTGGTCGCTGCATCACCTCATTACACTCTCGCACTTCCACAGCACAATTTACACAACCTGGAAAGGAATTTACTTCCTGAGGTATGAATGATGTGGCAGAAATAAATCAAAGCGACTCCGTTTTAGTTAACCGTTAATGTTGTTGCTCCTTCTATTTCTGGACCTCTTCTGTGGCGAGTCATAATGAACGTCTTTAATCATTAAAAAGCAACATGTCGGTGCTATAAATAGCTATCTGTCTTGAATCAGCATACTCATTGACTTGTCTTTAGATTTAAAGCCAACAATATCCATTAGTTATATTTAATATTCATTCTAATAACAGCAAGTTAGCATCATAAATAATGATGTTTTTTTAATTCCCCAAACTATGCCGATAACGTATGGAGTTCTTGTAAAATTAGAAATACCATTTGAAATAAGATATTTTAAAGTTTGCATTTGAAGCTAAGATTTGTTCTCTCTACAAATAAATATGTATTGGATGCAGCTTTATATACATCCCTTTTCAGCCTTTTGGCTAAGATTAAGTGTAGTGCATATTGCAAATTATGACATTATCTTAATTTTTGAGACATCCCTGCAGCTGTGAGACTGATGTAGAAGAAAGACACAGCAAGAAGTCAAACATTTCAGAGGCATGGAGAAATTAAGTACATGCAACCAAACTGTTGGAGACCTCGAAGATTATCTAGCCTTGGGGAGGAGAGGCTCTGGTTTGCAGACAATCCTTATCAAGTGAGAATTATATATTTTCAGTTCAGGTGCAAGTATTTAGCTGGCTGGATAGTTCAGGGGTTGAGGTATCTGGCTGGGGAGTGAAAGGTTGGGGGTTCGATTCCCCCACTGCGCCTCCTGGGAGAAGAGCCAGCCTAGGTAGCCTTGGGCAAGCTGTACAGTCCCACAGCGCCCCTAGTGGAAGGGAATGGTAGTACACATCTGAGTATACTCATTAGTGTACCTGGAAAATTCTGAAAAGGACTGACATAAGTCAAAATTGATTTGATGGCACACATGTGCACATGTATTTAGGCTTAGTTACACTACAATATGGATGGGCAAAGTGTTGGGTTTCCAGACATTTTGGACTGTAACTCCCAGCATTTCTCATCATTGGCTACGCTGGCTAGGGCTGATGGGATCTGTAGTCAAACATCTGAAGCACCACACCTGATCCTCCCTTGAAGAGGATTAGGACTTAAGCATCGGGGTAAAATGCTTGAATTCTGCAAAAATTATTCTGCTTTCTCTCCCTCTTTGGATTCTGGCCATAAAACAATTTTTAAAAATGCAATAACATTTGCAAATAATATAAACCAAGATTTATGGATTCTATAACCCCTCTAGTAGGGCAGATAAAAGCAATATTTCCCCCCCAAAAAAATCGATTTACATTTTAAAGAACCCATTTTTAAATTTCAATTGTCAAAAACTTTAAAAATCGTGATTTTTTTTCCCCCTGGCCCGCCTTCGAATTCTAGCCTCTTCCCCAGAGTGCATTCATTGGCTGCTGCCCCGGCCAATCGTATCCGGCGGCTGAAAGAGTGACAGCGAGACAAGGCCCCTCCCTCTGAGTATGGAACAGGACGCGGCGCCCCCCCGCGGGAAAAAAAAAAAGAGAGAGAGCCGCCGGACTTTCAACGGTCGCGGCGCGAGAGGGGCGGGGCCGTGGGCGTGTCAACAAGGGAGAAGGCGGGCTATCGCGAGCCCTTCCCTCCCTCCCCTGTACTAACGGCCGCTGCGCATGCGTGGTAGGAGGTTTTGCTGGCTGAGGCGATTTAATAGTTTCTTTCTGCGCTGAGTTCGTAGCGAACTGTTGTCAACCCCCTCCCCCCCGAGTGTCCCGCCAAACGGAGGAGTTTTCGCCCGCGGAGTCCTCAGTTGTACTCCAGAGGTAATAAAAATACAGTATTTATTTATTAATTATTTTATTTATTTATGATAGATATTTCTCCTCTCTCTGTGGGGAGGGGAGGTCCAGTCGTGACCCTGTTTAACTTTTCCTCAGGCACTAATAATCCGGTGTAACAACCACGCTTGGGCTGAAACGGTGAGGCGGGAGAGGGTCCGGGTTTGCTGCCTGCCCTCCCTCTTTAGGGCTCCTCTCTCTACCTCACCGCTTGCCTCTCCCCCCCCCCGCTTCCTGCTGCACCACGTGGTCACTTTGGGGGGGCAGGGGTTCCCCTCCTGGGCAGTGACGTAAACGAACATCATCATAACGGAACCATGAGCTCCCAGAAGGCGACGATCCTAAATTAACCCCAAGGGGATCCCTAGGGTGTTAGGTTCATGGCGTGTCAATCCTTGCTTTGCAACCTATATTTTACATGCACATATTAAGGAAAGGGGGGGGAATGTTAGAGGGTGCCCAGAAAGCTACATAACTTTTTTTGGTGGGAGGGAGGGGTTTGCTAAAGAGTGAAGCAAAGATAATTTAAATAAAAAGTGATCCGCAATATTACACTTCATGGCAACATTTGTTCCAGTGCAGGGTTGTCTTAAATTTCCCAGGGAAAGGAGAATGTGATGTATTGAATGTTTTGGATTCTGTTCTGTAAAAAAAGATGGTGCCACAGTAAATCTGTTTACTCACATGTACTGACTGTTTTTCTGTGAAATATGCCAGAATTCTGCATAACTTCAGATTATTGCACTGCTTGATGGTACACATAGTTTGTTTCTGTCAGATTATTGCACTGCTTGATGGTACACACAGTCAGTTTGTTTCTACTTTGCTTTTTGCAGCTGGTATGACTGCCAAACAAAGCAAGAAGGGTGCATTTAGCATGTTGTCCCAGCTGGGGATAGGGGCACGTAGTGGTTACCACCAAACAGTCTTGAAATTATAAAGCAAAAGAGAGCTTGACTAGCAATTCTGGATTATAAAGGGCATGATAAATCAGATTTCCCAGGTTACGCGACATCGTAAACCCTGGACAGGCAACTGTAGCCCTCCAGATGGTTTTGATCTGCAACCCATCACAATTGGCTGGCTAGGGCTAGTACAAGGGGGTGCTGATAAGTATTGAGCCTTTTCCAGAAAAAAAAATTGAGCTAGGAAGCTGTAACTGCCACACTACTCTACATATTCTCCTAGGAAGTCAATGCACTTGCAATGTCTGTCCTGCAGCTTCTTCAGTCCCTGCAAAATTCTTCTGACTGCTGGTGTAACCACTCATTTGCAGCATTAGTTGCCTCCAGAACACTCCCAAATCATTGTCCCTTCAGGTGTTTTTTGAGTTTGGGGAACAGATAATAGTCAGAAGGAGCCAGTTCGGAAGAATAGGGTGGATGGGGCATCACTTGAAAGCCTAAGGAGGTCAGTTTTGTCATTGTTTTACCTGCAGTGTGTGACAAAGTGTTGTCATGCAACAGGATGACACCCTTGGAGAGCTTTCTTTGATGTTTTTCCTTGATGTTTTGCCTCACCTTTGTCAATAAAGCACAGTAATATTTTCCATTGATGGTTGAACCCTGTTGGAGGTAGTCCACCAGCAGAACTTCCTTCTTATCCCAAAAAACTGTTGCCATTTGCTTCTGGACAGACCTTTGCACTCGGAACTTCTTTGGCCTGGGGGAACCACTGTGCCTCCATTCCTTAGACTATTCCTTTGTCTCAGGATGATAACAGTAGATCCCTGTCTCATCACCAGTTACCAGTTTGCCCAGGAAATCTGACTCATTTCTTGCAAAATGTTCCAAAACAGCCACCGATGACTCCACACGTTTCCTCTTTTGTTCGGTTGTCAAAAGTTTGGGGATCCACTTTGCTGCCAGCTTTCTCATTTCCAAGCTGTTGTGGATAATGGCACCAACTCTCTCACGTGATATTCTCAGATACATAGCAATACTTTTGGCTGATATTCGGCAGTCCTCCGTGATCATGTCATGGATGGCTTTCAAATTTGCAGAGTCAGAAACAGACCTTCCACTGGGTTTCTCACTTTCAACACCGAAATGGCCAGTTTTAAAATTGACAACCCAAGAATTTAACTGTTGCATATGAAGGGCCACTGTCACCCATAGTTTGTGACATTTCTTCATGGATCTGCTTTTCACCTTTCCCTTGGAGGAACAAGAACTTGATTATTGTCCTATGCTCTTCCACATTGAACTTTTCGGGAGGTGCTGCCATGTTCACTTTGGAGCTGAGCATGAAAGATAAGTTAAAATCATAGGTGGTTGATTTTTGCACCATTGAATACAGACAAATTGGCCAATACACACTGCAATTTATAGCTTCCTAGCTCAAATTTTTCTGGGAAAGGCTCAGCATCCCCTCGTAGCTATAGGCAAAAAACATTTGGCAGGATACACTTGATCATCCCTCTCTAAATGAATGTTTCTGATTTATTAGGCAGTCGTGCTAGTGGGGAGACACATTGGCTCTTTGCAAACAAGACTAGGTTAACAAATTATATAAAAGTTGAATATTTTCTCTTTAGTAAATTGAGACTGCAGAATTTGACTGTTGTTTTTCCAAATTCATTAACATGGAATGGGATTTCCATGTTCTTTCCTCCAGGTTGTATGGTATCACCAGGCTTGCAGTTCCTCTTTCTAGATGTGTGATAAAATATTTTTTCTCTTGTGCTTTACTTGGGGTTATGCGGTATTTGATAGCTTCTAGTGCAGTGAGGCAGGTTTGATCTCAATCAAAATGTTCAGAATCCTGCTGTGCATTTATACCTGCATAAGTGTAATGCCTAACTTGTTGTGGCAAATTGCTATTCTTGTTTTGTCCTAGTCATGCACCAAGATATGTGACCGGGACATGTAAGTAGCAACGTATTAATTAAGAGCAAGTCACGTCTCCTATTTATGTCATTACATTTATGCTTGTATACATCTGCAGTAGCATTCTGGCCATTGACTGTTGTTACCTGTGAAATGTGGTGGCTTTTCAACATACATGTTAAGCCTGTTCTAAACATTTCCCCCCTTCCTAATATGCTGTTGACATTCAACATTATTTTTTCTTCCCAGAGCCTGCTGAATATCACTACTGTTCTTATCTGTATGTTTTGTGTAGTATTCTCATTGCCAATATATCTAAGTCACGCTTGCACTCGGTATCATTCACATCATGCCCATGAGATGAACTGCAGTACAAATTGGTTAAGATTTTGAAGAGTAACTTTGAATTTGGAGTTATTTGTCAGCACTGCTCATAAAAGTGTGCAGTGTCTAGATTGGGATTTACCCTAGCAATTGCATGTTTGGGGTGTAATCCGCTGCCTGTGTGATTAGCAGTAACATCTTCATACTAGCCATGGTTAAAGTTGTTGTCTGTCTGAGATACGGGTAGGAGAGTAGAGGGACTTTCATGTGCTCATGTAATCTGACCTTGGCCCCATACTAGTGGTTGAAGAATAGGCTGCATTCACACTAGCCCACATTTCATGTGCTCATGTAATCTGACCTTGGCCCTATACTAGTGGTTGAGAATTCTTCTGGACACCATAAATCCTGACAATGTAGCCTCGCTCCTGCCCCAATTTCAGTAAGGGTCTCTCGATAACAGTATTTTGAGTCCTGTCATCCCGTAAATCCCAAATTATTCTGAAATTACAGATAGACACTCTGGTTGAAGTATGGCTGCCTCTGGAGGTACACTGACTGGGACATCCTACTCAAACAGCTCAGATGGTGAGTTTTTATACAGAACTGTTATATTCAATCTTACAGCCTCTCTTTTGTGTCAGGTTTTACCTTGTCAGATAAGGCAGAAAAAGTGCTGAGTTAGTTACAGCCCAGATGGGGAACAATTAATTAAACACAGTCTTAACCAATTAGTCTGGCTGCCTTGACAGCAAATTAGAACTTTGAATCAGTTAAGGTTAAACTAATAGTCTGTTGGTATATTCAAATACTTTTAATTTAGCAGAGGCAATCTATATTAGTTTTCCAATGTATTTTAATGAGCTTCTCCCCAGTGTTTTGAGTTCTGCTAAGAAGTAATGCCACAAATCAAATGTGGGAACGCATGGGTGCCAACCTGCATTCTTACATCCTAGATACAGCCTTCTAACTTGTTTATGACACATATTTCTAGCACTAGGAGTTAGCTTTCTTTCCCCCCCTTCATATGACTGATGTAATAATGCATAAACAGCAATCTGCTTTTTCCTGTGTCCCCACCTAGCAGAATAAAGCTGCAGGTAAAGAAGTTCTTGGCAGATCTGTTCTTCTGGCATTTAAAATTTTATACTGACAGCTCGTTTACAGAAATTTATAAACTTGTGACACATAGCATAATTCCCCTGATAATCAATCTGTGATTCTTCATTCCTCCTTATACCAGCACTTGGGTATTGCAAATAGCTGAAACAGAATAGAACAAATATCTCAGATATTTTTACTGACTATGTCACATAGGAATCTGAAATTCTTGCAGTTTCTGGAAAGAACAAAACACTATTTGAAAACTAGGTGCCTTAGCTTCTTGCTTTTGCTGCTGCTGTTTTTCTGTATTGAAACCTGAGAGTTACTAAGAATAACTTCACACTTCCATCTAGTCAAATCTGGAACTTCTGCGTCAGTGTTTTCAGTATTCAGACCTGCCTTATTCCATGTAGCTATTAGAGAGAAAACAAGGCTGATTTTTACAGAAAGGCTTGAGCTAAATTCAACAACTATTGCTTTAGCTTCCTAAGAATATTTCAGTCTTCTGCTTCTTTGGGGTAGCTGCTGACTCCACATCTTCAGCAGCAAATAAAAGTTAATGTGTTGTGGTTTGGGAATATAATCAAGAGTTCTGAGCCTGGTTCCTGAGTAAGTTTTAGCATTTGTAAACTTGTTTTCAAAAAGTGTTTTGGTTTGGTTTGCTTCTGCGTTTGCTTTGTTGTTGTTGTTGTTGTTGTTGTTGTTGTTGTTGTTGTTGTTGTTGTTGTTGTTGTTGTTGTTGTTGTTGTTGTTGTTGTTGTTGTTGTTTTATATGACATCCTTCTCCCCATAGGGGACCCAAGGCATCTCACAACAGTTAAAACTATACAACAATCAGCCATTTAAAAATAAGATAGAAGTACCATATTTTTAAAAACACAATTAAAATGCATATCAGCATTAAAAACAAGATTAAAAACAATTTTAAAACTTTTTGAAATTTCTAGGTTTAACAAACAAATGATTCCTGAGACACTTATTGCTTAAAAGCTTATTGCTTTATAAGCAGGTAATAAAGCTCCACTTTGGTACTTCTTATAAAGCTCTGCTTTGGTTTTAACATTTATTTGGGCAAACATAGGTTTCTGTTGTGATCAAATGCCAGTTCTTTGCATGCTATGAAAGTTAACTATCATATCTGTAACATTTTAGCTTTACCCCTTTATATATACAGTAGCTGTATTATATTTTCCTAGGTCCTAAAACTATCAAAAAGCCATGGAAAAAGTTAAGTATCAGATAGTGTGTAATGTTCTGGGTCTAATGCTCAGAATTCTAATTTTGTTTCCTAGCATTCTGTAGTTCCAGTGACAGTTCTTCATTTCAGCCCATCAAAACCCAAGTGGCCATCCCTACAGCTCATGTCATGCCTTCTATGCTGGATGCATCTCCTCGATTGGTGAGTGAATCAAGTTCTTCTCGGACTGCCTTGGCATCCTCCCCACCAATCTCATCAGGCGACATACGAGGATTAATATCCAACCATGACTCTGACACTCTGAGACCGACCCAGATGTTCCACAGGAACCCTCACCTATATCGGGCTTCAATGGAAAATGGCCGTGATCAACCACTGTTCCTTACTTCCAATCAAGCAAGTGTGGACAGTGCTCAGAAATCTGTCAGGCAAACTGGGGAAGTCACAGTTAATCATTCTTTTTTGCAAGATAGACAGTTCGCTGGCCCTTGGTCCCAGCTCCAAATGTTCAGTTCAGATGCCACTATGCCTGGTGTAGAAAAAGAACCACACACAGGGTTGCTTGATGCTAAGCCAACGACAGAGGCCAGTCGAGTCTGTGAAAAGCAGTTATCCTCGGAGCTTAATCCAGCTGGTCTGTATTCCAACCCAGCTGTTGCTCAGTCTCAGATGTGGAAGCAGGAGGCCTGTGCACTCCATCAGCATGAAAATTGTGCACTGAGTACTTGGAAACAGCACCTGGATCATGTTCGGCTTCGACTGGAGCAGATGCAGGTAAAAGGCTTTTATATATATATATAATTTGAGAGTGTATGTGTACATAGATAGCATCTTTAAAATACAGTGGTGCCTTGCATTATAACGTTAATTCGTTCCAGCGAAATCGCTGTAGAACGAAAACGTCGTAATGCAAAATTAAAAAGCCCATAGAAATGCATTAAAACCCGATTAATGTGTTCCTATGGGCTTGAAACTCACCATCCAGCGAAGATCCTCCATAGTGCGGCTATTTTCACTGCCTGTGCAGCGAGGAATCCATCCCAGAAAACAGCGGGGAGCCATTTTTTTAACCCGACGCCCATTTTGAAACTGCCGATCACCTGTTTTAAAATCGTAGTTTTGCGAGAATCGGTTCCCGAAGCAGGGAACTGATCACCGCAAAGCGAAAAAAACCCATTCAGACCATCATTTTGCAATCACAATTGCGATCGCAAAAAGATCGTCGTAGTGCGGTTTCGTCGTTAAACGGGGCGCCCGTCTTGCGAGGCACCACTGTATAATAAATTATGTAGACATTATTCAAAGTTGCATATTTATCATGTATTGTGTGTCAGTTCTCTTTTTTCCCTCCTGATAGATTGTATACATAACAGAATTAACGGCAAGTATAGAGCTAGGTTTTTATTTCAGTCACTTGGGCAACTGCTACACAGAAATGGAAAGGAGTTCGGGATTGTTGGTGTTTGAAGCTATTTATTACCTCGTGCTTTTAGTATGTTTGGTGAAAGAGTACAATGTAATATTTATTTTATTTAACCCTGACCCATACTTATTGAAGAGAGAATGGATGACCACAAGTCTTTTTATGTGATGCTCTTTTTAACACAAAATGCATATCAGCAAAGTTTTTAACATAACTTTGAAGAGAAGTGTTACCATATGAGTTTTGAAGGAGCAATACCAAGCAAAATGGGCATCGTGGTCATGTAGGTAGCTAAAATCCCTGTTTTTGCTACACCTAACTTATATACTTTGTTGGACAACAGAGTGTATTTTTAGTTAGAGCAGAGTGGATTTCTAGTTAGAGTGGAGAATAATAACTGTGAGTTTCAGTGATGTTTCCCTCTGTTGCACAGTGATTTAAAATTATTTTGCATAGAGCTGCTTGGATATGTGCCCAAAATAACTGTATATGAGATAAACATCCTGTGTTATTGGCAAGTGGAAAATGCAGAAAGTAAAATAGTCTCTGTGATGTCATAGTTGTGTTTGAGAGCTGAACGTCAAGCCTTGTTTCATCTGAACCTCATATTTCTAGCTGCAAAATAAAGCTGCTTGCTATCATCCCTTGGTGGACAACACTTCGCTACCCACTCTTGATCCAGCGCAGTGGGTCAGTATTGTGAATGCAAATGAGAACCTGCTCAGGGAGAAAGAAATTCTTATTGACAGGTAAGAAATAGAACAACAGAGATCCATTCTGTGCTTCTGTAGCAGTTAAGACTGAAAAAACGTGATGTCACAATTCTAAATTCCTAAACACTGTTACATGGGCACCCCTGTGGTGTGATGGCTCAGGGGGACTGAGTTTGAATCCCCGGCTCTGCCACTGAAAATCACTGGGATGTGTGTAGAATTGGTAAAAACCTTAAATACCTCACTTACCTAGAAAACCCCATTAGGGTCACTATAAGTCAGTTCTGCCTTGACAACACATAACAGCATCAACAAGCAATGTTGCAAGTAAGCCTCACTTGAGGATACTTATCAGTGAACATGACTAGGTTTGTGCTGTAAATTTTGTGCTAAGAATCTAATGAAATAGTTCATCAGTGTCACCACAGAAGTATGTACATCTGCTATGTTAAAAGTTATACAGTTGTGCCCCTTTATTAATGATTAAGATCATGAAGTGATTTAATGGTTTTGTGCAACAAGTAGCTTTCCAGATTTTATTGGACTGCGGATGTTGCTGGATGAGAGGCAGTGTGGTGCAGTGGCTAGAGTGTTGAACTAGGACTTGAGAGACTTGAATTCAGAACCCATTTGTACAAGAAAGTCACTGGGTTACTTTGGCTAGCCATAAACTCTCAGTGTGACTGACTTCACTGATTGTTTTGAGGAAAAGCAGAGGAAGAAGAGGGTTGTAGCTCATTCCAGGAAGGAAGAACATGCATGTAACTAATAAATAAACTCCCAGCAGCCATAGCAAAAGGGGCACTGGTAAGACTTGATGAGAAATACAGTCCAAAAAGAACTGGAGGGCCACAAGTTGCTCACCCCATTCCATCTGGTTTCACTGAGACTTTGCCCATCTTTTAATTTGGAGAGTGTGTGTTTTCCTCTTTAGTGTGCTTAATTAGCTTGCATTAGTTCAATCAGGAGAAATCATGTGGGATACCATGTCCCTCACTTAGCTTTTCCCCTCTACAACTCTTGCTATGTTTCTTGTAATGGAAATCAGAGATGGGTATTATGTAGTATTTAATAATGACTTTTCATTTACTAATTAGCATTAGTAAACACCAGTTAAAACACATACATGCATGTAACTAATAAATAAACTCCCAACAGCCATAGCAAAAGGGGCACTGGTAACACTTGATGAGAAATACAGTCCAAAACAGTTAAAACACACACAGGAAGTTCTTTCTGCTAAGTTAACTTTCTGTTTTGACATCTGACAGTCCAGTTTAGTAAACATTAATGTCTGTCTCTTGTAATTATTCTGGTTTAAAGGCAGAGGCAGCACATTTCCCAGCTGGAGCAGAAAGTACGTGAAAGTGAGATGCAGGTCCATACTGCCCTCTTCAGTCATCCTGCCTCCTATGGAGACATGTACTTGCTCAGGATGCAGGTAAATGCTAGCATCTCACTGTTGGTGTGCCTTGAAGACACTGGCCCTTCTCTGAAGGAAGATTCAAAAGAATACTGATGGGTTGAAGGAGATGGGAGTGTGGAAGAGGTGGACTGTTGTTCTGTGGTGCTCTAATCTCTTGACACCTAATCTAACAGTATTGAGCATAGCCTTGTAAATAGGAGTCTGGAGGTGCCAGCTGCTGTGGGGTGTTTTTTTTTTGGCTGGATATAATGGAGACATGTACTTGCTCAGGATGCAGGTAAATGCTAGCATCTCACTGTTGGTGTGCCTTGAAGACACTGGCCCTTCTCTGAAGGAAGATTCAAAAGAATACTGATGGGTTGAAGGAGATGGGAGTGTGGAAGAGGTGGACTGTTGTTCTGTGGTGCTCTAATCTCTTGACGCCTAATCTAACAGTATTGAGCATAGCCTTGTAAATAGGAGTCTGGAGGTGCCAGCTGCTGTGGGGGTTTTTTTGGCTGGATATACTGTAAAGCAGTAATCCCCAACCTTGGGCCTCCAGGTGTTCTTGGACTTCAACTCCCAGAAATCCTGGCCAGCAGAGGTGGTGGTGAAGGCTTCTGGGAGCTGTAGTCCAAGAACATCTGGAGGCCCAAGGTTGAGGATCACTGCTGTAAAGCACTGGTCCCCAACCTCGGGCCTCCAGATGTTCTTGGACTACAATTCCCAGAAGCCTTCAACACCACCTCCACTGGCCAGGATTTCTGGGAGTTGAAGTCTAAGAACATCTGGAGGCCCAAAGTTGGGGACCACTGCTGTAAAAGAAAGGATTTGCTTCCTAGCAACCTGTGTAGTTCTGTGCTGAGCCCAAAGAAGGGACAGAGGGCTTCCTTCCACTTCCATTCACCTGCACACATTTTCATGTCACCTGTGGCAACAGGGTTAATGTTGAAAACTGATTGACCGACCAGCCGTTTCTCTGAGCATGTGGGTTTTGAGAGATGCATTAAGAGCTACTTGATTTTTGGGTGGTTTTTACAGGAATTGCAGCGGGAGAATGTATTCTTACGAGCTCAGTTCACTGAAAAAACAGAGTCTCTTAGTAAGGAAAAGATTGAATTGGAAAAGAAGTTGGCTGCTTCAGAAGCAAGCGTCAAACAAATCCAGGATACCCACAAAGAGGCTATGCAAAAGCATGCTGTGGAATTGAAGAAACAAGAAGAAAGGGTAGGTTTTCTGTGTTAACACTCAAGAATTTTATTTGTTTAAATTTTGTACCACCTGTTAAGTGAAAAACCACTGCCATGGGCAGTTTACAATGGAATTAAACTATCACAACTACCATCCCAGCCAGCAAATTAAAATTAACTTTACTACAAACGACGACGACAACAACAAAAAAGAGAGCAGCAATAAAGCCATATGCAATGACTGAAGTAAATAATACAAATGAGGGTCAGCAGAAAGACTGTTGTAGGGGAAGAATATTACAGTGGTGCCTTGACTTTACTGAAGTAAATAATACAAATGAGGGTCAGCAGAAAGACTATTGTAGGGGAAGGATATTACAGTGGTGCCTCGACTTATGAACACCCCTATTTACGACCATTTCGAGTTACGACCAGCTCCAGCCGCAAAATTTTGCTTTTACTTGCGACTGCAGCTTCCACTTACAAACAGAAAAAGGCAGGAAATTCAAATTTCTAACTGGTGGTGGCGAAACTGTTCTGGGTGTTTTTGCAGCATGGTTTTGGGTTGGGGGGGTTATGCTTCTGTGCTGTGATGGGTCTTGGGGGGTTTGTTTGTTGGGTTTTCCCACCACTCCCAATGGGTCTTGGGGGGTTGGTTGCTTTTTGGAGTGTTTTTTCCCCATTTCCAATGGATCTTTCACGGTTGGTTTGTTTTTTGGTTTTTTCCCCCATTTCCGATGGGTCTTGGGGGGTTGGTTGCTTTGGCGGTTTTTCCCCCCATTTCCGATGGGTTTTGGGGGGTTGGTTTGTTTTTTGGCTTTTCCCTCCCATTTCTGATGGGTCTTGATTGCTTTGGGGGTTTTCTCCCCATGGTCTTGCATGCTTCCCTTGCTTTTTCCTTTGCTCTCTTCACATTTCCGATCTGTTCCATTTGTTTTCTGGGCATTTCCAATGGGTCTTGCACACTTGATTGACCTTCGGCCAGAAGGGATTAATAGTGTTTCCAATGAGTCTTGCAGTGGTTTATTTATTTATTTTTCTTTGGCTAGAACAGATTAATTGCATTTCAGTGCATTCCTATAGGAAATGGTGCTTCGACTTATCACCATTTCGAGTTACGTCCATCTTCTTGAACGGATTATGGTCATAAGTCAAGGCACCACTGTACTAAAGGCTTTTTAAAAGAGCTTTGCCTTAACTAGCTTGTGAAAGGCGTGGAGGGAGGAGCACAGGCAAACCTCTGATGGGAATGAGTTCCAAAAGACGGAATCACCACCAAAAAGAGACCTAATTTGTAGTTAATACTTTCTGGGCCTCCTTCAGTGTAGGCTCTCTTAGCAGCAAGGCCTGAGAGGAATGGGTGACACAGGCAGCAGTTTTTTGGGAGAAACATTCTAACAGGTATCGAGGTCCCAGACCATTTAGGGCATTGTACTGTGTGTCTACATCTTAAAGAAGGCTTCCAGTTTGAAATCCTTGGCTAGGAAACATGCCTGTTCAGATGCAGAGGGTACATGCAGAATATTCTGCTCCTGTAACCAGTACATGTAGTAAGGAGAAACTGTTTTTTTTAAAAAAATATTTAAATTAATTATTTGCCACCTTTTTTCCTATCGTGAACCCAAGGCAGATTACAACAAACAAAAATAGTAAAGAAGTAAGAACTACTGCATAATATGCCTCCATGATTTCCTTTACAGAAATATGAGCCATGTTAATGCGTGGAATCCTTGCCTTTCAAGGTGAGGCAACAGGCATACCTGCTTCTTATCCTTGATTTCATGCTGCAGATTTGAACAGAGGATCTTTGCACTAATACTTGGCTTTTCTGATACATTTTTGCCAAAAGGTTTGACTCACTTCCTGCTCCCCAATTTGCAGTACACATTAATGAAGCAATGTTGCAAGAAGTGGTGGTTGCCTGTGTTGAAGATGCTACATGGGGAGTTGGATAAACCATGGGGGGAAAACTGAGAGCATCAAGTGGAAATATTGTTCCAGAATTTGTTTGCACTTTCTTTTTTCGTAGTTACAGTGGTGCCTCGCATTACGACGTTAATTCATTGCAGCGAAATGGCTGTCTTACGAAAACGTCGTAATGCGAAATTTAAAAGCCCATAGAAACATATTAAAACCCAATTAATGCATTCCTAGGGGTTTGAAACTCACAGTCCAGTGAAGATCCTCCATAGTGCGGACATTTTTGCTGCCTGTGCAGCGAGGAATCCATCCCAGAAAAGAGTGGGGAGCCATGTTTTTTACCCAGCGGCCATTTTGAAACCACCAATCAGCTGGCCGAAAATATTGCTTTGCGAGAATCGGTTCCTGAAGCAGGGAACCGATCATCGCAAAGCGAAATTCCCCCATAGGAAACATCGTTTCAATGTAAAGTGATTTCGTCGTAAAACGGAGTGCTCGTAATGCGAGGCACCACTGTAGTTCTCTGCTCATCAGTGGTTCTCAAGGAGAATATTTTCTGTTTGCTTTCTTTAAAACTTGGCTGCCACAGCCTACACCTATAATCAAGTTGCTTCTCTTCTGCAGCCTGAGAGGATCAATCTCTTCTATTCCATCTTCAAGTGCTGGCTATATGTTTCATTTTCTGGCTTTGTGAATACTGTTTGCCATGCAATTCAAGTATCTGAGCCTGATGCATTTGGGTTGAATGCATGATTGTAAGAGAGCCCAGCATATGCTGTTTGTGCAGGTAAAGGCAAGAGACAAACATCTGGAGCATTTGAAGAAGAAGTGCCTAAAAGAATCCGAGCAAAACCGTGAGAAACAGCAGAGGATTGAGACCTTGGAGCGCTATGTTGCTGACCTCCCGATGTTAGAGGACCATCAGAAACAAAGCCAGCAGGTAGAATTCAATCTTCTAGATATCCCTGGAGGCGCAGAATAGATGGCAGGGTCCCTGCATGTATTTGTGAGTGTGCATGTCTGGTTAGAATGACTGTTTGCTTTGTCAGAAAGGAAGGTATTCTCAGTTCGGATGCCACGTTGCTCGTAATGATAACAGGAGTTTCGGCAGCTGCTAGCTACATAGATAGGCAGGTTGCTAAGGTGATTTCTGTTTTTCTGAAGTGTGATGTGTTTGTCTTTCCTAGCTAAAAGAGTCTCAGCAGGCAGCTGCAGCTTTGCAAGAAACGGTGACTGCTCTTGAGAGAGAGCTTGGAGATGTCCGTGCCAGTTGCAGAGAAAAGGAGCTGCAATTAGAATTACAGAAACACAAAGAGATGGAACTGCTTTCCACTGTGCGCAGGTAATGCTTCCTGGAACTCATTTCAGAGAGGTGCAAAAAGTGGGGAGATGCAGTCCAGGAATCTGACATTGGATCACACTCATGACAGTGAAGCCTTCCTGTGGACACCCTATGGATTGGACATGGGCGACAGAGAAGGATGGTATGGCAGAATGTTTATAGGGGAAAGCACAGTGATCAGAGAGGAGAGACTCGCAGGAGACTGTGGAGAAAGGGAAATATGTGTAAAACCAAATGTAGCTGGTAGGGGACGTATGACCTGAGGTTTTTATGGAGGGAGAGTGTTAGAGGTTGGGTAGTAGGGAGGGAGGAGAGAGGCATTTGGATGAGTCAGAATGTTGAGTGAAGCCCTGCAGTTTTCTGAACTGATTCTTAAAGGCACTCCATACCCTTAAAAGCCTGGCCTGTTTTGGTTTCCAAGCATTAAAAAGTTGCAAGCATTCTGTCCTAGGAGCCAGAGGAGCTAATCTTACACAAGATTTATTTAGAGTTGCCTTTATTTGATTTGGGGTTTTTTTTTGGTTGTTGTTGTTGTTATATGTTGATATCTCTCCTTTCTTCAGTGAGCTCAAGGGATTTGTACACAGCTTTCTTGCCACATGCTTCATCCTCACAACAACCCTGTGGGGAAATAAAGATGAAAGAGACAGTGACTGGCCCGTGGCTGTCTAAGTAGATTTCATAGCAAGGACTTCAACCTGGGTCTCCCAGCTCCTAGCACACTTTGCTGACCCGCTACCATATTGGTACTCCTACAAGTTAAGACTGGAGTTAGCACACTTTGCTGACCCGCTACCATATTGATACAGGTCCTACAAGTTAAGACTGGAGCATTACAACTAAATGTGTTAGCGGCAGATTCACTTTGTTTCATCTGCCAAATCATATATTAGAGCAAATGTTCGTCTGTTGTAATAATCTATATCAGAAATAGTTGTGTAGCACCTAAAAGACTAATTTTTATTTTTCATAAGCTTTCATAAAGACCAGCAAGTCTTAAAGGAGTTACATGACTATTTCTGATATAAATTAGAGCAGGATATGTGTGACTGATGACTGGTGAACTCCTCACTGATAAGCGTATTGGTGTGGAACCCTCACCTTCCTCGTGGTATTTAGTCTGCCACCATTTCAGGTTGTCTTCTGCTTAACTTGATGCCTTTCATTGGTAAATATTTGTTTCTATTCCGGCTCCCAAAATTCAAGTCCTTTTGAGACATCTTAAAAGTAAGTGACAAGTACTTTGGCTGGTTCCTCATGGATAGTTGGTGAGGGGTGGTTTTATGGGTAGTGAAAGATCAGCCCAGCTGGAGAGGATTCTGGAGCCTTCTTTCCTCCCTCCCATCCTCCCTCTCTCTCTCTTAAAATTCAGTTAATATTGTAATACTGAGATGGCAATATTTAATATCATAAGTGCTTTAAGTCCTCTTGTGAGGAGAAAGACAGAGTGTAAATATTTTAAATAAATAATCGACAGGCTAGTGAATAAGATAAAGGGTACTTATTCTGCTACCTCTGCCTAAATGTGGATTTTTTCCGACATTGGAAGAAAGCTAGGAGTGGGTAGCAGAAAATGTGTGATTATTCAGCAATTAACATTGATTTTAAGCTTGTCTATCATCTGTTTTGTTATGCATCACTTGGGATGCCTTTATGGGATGAGAAGCAGTAAATAAATACTTCTGAAAAATCTGAAAGAGAGAGAGAAATGTGAACTAGTTTCTTAATGTGTGACATTAGAGTGCCAGAAAAGAAGGGGAATGTGAACTAGTTTCTTAATGTGTGACATCAGTATTGAAGAGTGTCAGAAAAGAAGGGATTTTTGCAATGTAACTGCCTATTTTTGGAGTGGAGTAGTATGTTTCATTTGCTCTGGAATACGACCCCCCAAATGGTGGGCTTCTTGAGGTCACTCCATTGAATGTTGCTCTCCTGTTTCTCAGTTTACAAGACAAGTTGCAGCGTAGCAAGAACCCATCAGTGGATGGCTATGTCCAGGAGATGGAGAAAGAGAAGCGAGAAAAGGATTCTTTACAAAAAGAGCGTGATCTGCTTAGAAAGGTAACTCTTCCAGTGGAAACTGAAAAATATGAGGAAGGGATAATGTAGTGGAAATTGGGACCTCCTTTCATTTTCCTCCATACACTCAGCGGCCTTTGTCCTCTCTACTAGGTGCCCTCTTCAAAATTGCAGCCTTTGCTTTTGCCAGCGTGGCTCTCACTATAATCTATTCACTTTCAGATCGTGGATAACCAGAAGAAGAAAGCGGATCAGTTGTCTTCACAAGTAAAGGTGAGACTACTGTTGAAGGCTGAGACAGATGGTTTGTGTGTCCTGCATTACTCCCAGGGCCATTTGCACTTCTCTCCTCTTTGTTTTGCAGGAGCTGGAAGAACAGATTGCTCAGGAAGAGGGCATGGCTCAGGGCCTGAGAGCAGAAGCACTGAGGCAAGAGAGCGCCCTGCAGCAGTTGCGTGTCGCTGTGAAAGAGGTAGCCTCCCTTTTCCACCATGGCATCCACTAAGGAAATATCACTGTCAGTGCTGTGGCACAATAAGACTCTCCGTTTAGCTTCTCTGGTCTATTCAGGTGCTAATGGTTGTTTGGCAGTTCATATTTGTAGCCTTATGGAGGTCCTTACACAGTTACCATCTTTCAGTTCTTTGGCCAATTGTAGTTTTTTCAAATCATTGTCCCAATTTGCACTTGTTTTCATGCGTGTTCTTGACACTGTTGGGGTCTTGATTCATAGGATCTTCCTATGTATGTCAGTGGGTGTGATGCTGTGCTTCTTGAGAGCACTGTAGCTACTGAAAAATTGATTGTGGTCACAGAAACCGTACCTGGTACAAATGGAGGTTGGGTAGAGATTTCTTTGTTCTCCTCGTGGTGATCCAGTTTGACAGCTGCTTTGTTGTGGTTCCAACTTTTGGGATGAACATAAGTCACGCTCTTGACTTGAGCTTGTGCTCCCAGTAGTTTTTTTGGTTTTTTTTAGACCAGTGAAATTCATGCTGACAGGTTGTTTGGGCATACAGTTAAGGGTTAAACCCCAGAAAGCTGCAGAAACCATTAGAATACAAGGAAGTTGTAAATGATTGATCAATCTTCATGATCACAGTAGAGCCCATTAGAGTCCCTGGAAGATAATGTAGCCAGAGGGCTGCACAGGCTTGGCTCAATGTACACAGAGGTCTGTTTTCCCACTCTATCTGAGAATCACTGATGAAGAACACTATAGGGGATCTTATGTGTCATTAATCAGAATTGTTTCTGTCTGTAGCTTTAGATCCAGCCATCCTTGAAGGTATTCTGATTGAGTGAGGGAGTAGTAGTATCTGTGTAGATAGCAATTTCAGGCATGAGGGTGGATAGAGATAGAGTTGACTGTCTGTAGCTTTAGATCCAGCCATCCTTGGAGGTATTCTGATTGAGTGAGGGAGTAGTAGTATATGGGTAGATAGCAATTTCAGGCATGAGGGTGGATAGAGATAGAGTTGAATCTCTAAATCATAAGCTCTGTACTGTGTCCAGCAAGTGAAGCATAGATTTGAAAGACTTTTCTGAAAATGTAGCAGAGAATTCTAACTTCCTATGTGTTAATGTCAGGCAGAGTCTTGTGGTGTAGTTTTGTGCCTGGTGCAACATGGATCAGGTGCTGGAAACATAAACTTACACTAATTAGTATCTTCCTGTCCCTCCCTATTTTACTGTTTAAAGCCATTTTGATTCTTAAAGGCTCCCCACCATTCCAAGTCTCCCAAAGCCTTCTCTAGGGCAGAGGGAGCCTGAGGGAGACTCAGAGACTGACACGGGGGGGGGGGATAGGAAGCTTAAACTAGTGTAAGTTAAATGTTTCTGGTGTCTGTTTTGAGTCATGCTGGGCACAAAGTTACAAAACAGATTTTGTCCATTATTACTGCAGGTGAGATGGGAACAATAGTTTAGAATTTATGGTTTCTGTGAAATCATAGTGTCAGATCGTTCTGCATATAATATTTCTTGCCTCCCTCAACACAGTGATCTCAGATTCTGTAGGACAATATTTAAAAGTAGTTGCTTCTGTCATTCTGTAAGTTGCTTAATACAGTACGTCGTATAGATATGAAATAAGATATTATAGAACTGCAGCCTCTCACTAGGGGGCGCTGGAGAACAGGCATGGTCCCTCACCCTCCAGTCTGTCTGTCTGTCTGTCTCTCTAGCTATCTGCACAGAATCAGGAACTGATGGAGAAAAACCTGACCCTTCAAGAGCATCTCCGGCAGATGGAGCTCAGTCAGCCACTCTCCGATGAGACAGCCCATCTTACCCAAGAGTTGCACAAGGAGTTGGCCAGCTGTCTAGAGGACCTGCAGTCTGTCTATAGTGTTGTAACTCAGAGGGCACAAGGAAAGGATCCCAATTTGTCATTACTTTTGGGGATTCACAGTAAGTAAAACTGCTACCAAACCACCCAAATGCACTGGCTCTCATGAAGCTGAGTAAGATTAGGCCCGGTTTATACTTGAATGGAGCCCCACCAAGGGATACCACGGATACTCAGGTTGAGCTAAGACAGAATGCTGCCTCCAGTCGTTGGCCTTAGTAATAAGGCAGCTTCCTACATTCCTGCATTTGAAGTCTTGTTTGTTTCTTCCAAAAGCTAGTGGTGAGTAAAAACTTTGTGATTCTGGAGATGTGATGCAGGGAGGCAGAGCTCGGGGCTTTCCAGATATTGCTGAACTACAACTTCCTTCGTTGTCAGTCTGACAGTTGACAGGGCCAGCTAGGACCAATGGCAACTGCAATCCAGCAATACCTGGAGGGCCACAGGTTTCTAGTCCTCAAGGCCTCTCCTGATCAGCCAGGTGCCTATTTGTGCTTCAGCAGCGAGCAGGCTGGCTAGAGTGGGAGAACAGCAGCCTAAAAATAAAACAAACAAAACAAAGTGGGAGTTCTGTGTTGAGGAAATCTTTTGAATGTTTGCTCTGCCCAGTTTATTGAAATATGTTTGTTCCACATAAGAATATCCTCAAGATTTGCCTCCTGCAGGATTTATGCCAGTGATATTCTGCATTTCCTCATCTGGTTTATACACCATTGGAGACAGATAACAATGAGGGCTAGAAACAGGCCTTTCTTTTAAGAAAAAAACACTTAGGTTCTAGCTTTTTGTGGAATATCTGGAGTCCCCAAATGGCAACTTTAGTCTAATCTGTGCCTTTGATTTTGCAGCTGTGCATTGCTCAGTGAAAGAAAAGGAAGATTTGCTGCAGCCAAACATGCTAGCAAAGAAGCTGGAAGAAGTAAAACATTTGCACAAAGAGGTTGAGGATTTGCGGACAGCTATTTCTGACAGATACGCCCAGGATATGGGTGATAACTGCATCACGCAGTGAAGTCAAAAAGAGGGGACATGACTCTGGGACTGTGGATCTGTTCAAGCTGCTACGAGTGGGTTCATCAGATGTCTCTTTAATATATTCTATTGTGGTGACAGTGCGGCATGTTTGATTCCTTAACAGAGAACCCCTAAAGAAAGGCCTTTGGGGGAAAATTGTGATAAACATCTACCTCCCTTTTTTATTTACCTGATCTGGGCAACTGAATGAATAGTTTGCTGCTCTTGACATCAGTCATAAACACTGGCATAACTGCAGCTGTAGTGCTGGCTCATCCTGGCAGTTACAGCTTTTCTTCAGCCAAGTGTTTGCCATCTCCTAGGGAAGGGTACTGTTGCGGCCCGTAGACATATCTGTGATTAGCAGCAGCACATTTTCCAAATAATATAACTGAGGGAATTTCTGCATCTGTATGCAGAATACCTAGTTAATGCAAGAATTTGTGGCCGACTCATTCTAGAAGGAACTGGCTTGGCCTGAATAAAAAGTTCCAAAGTAGTTTGAGCAATGAAGAGAAGTCTGTGCTGGCAGCACCCCGTATCTGGGTGACTTGATCAGGAATCTTTTAGTACTGTACTTGGTCTTGATTCCTAACTCAGAATAAGTACTGTGGTAGAAGGGTCTAAGTGGTCCTAAAAGGTCTCAGTGCACTCCACCCAAAAAAAAAAAAAAAGCCAAAACAAAGCAAACATCTATAAATCTCCATAAATCACTGGAGGTGGAGTGCTAGACATGACCAGCACAAGTGAAATGGGCCTTTCTCATATTAGTAGACCCATATGGGTTGTAACATTTCCATGCGAGTGCACCTTTTAAACTATATTTTTGTATCTTTCTCATTCGAGTACTAACTTGACGGGATTTTTTATCCTGAAATGATGCATTTTTATAAATGTATAGTGCAATACAGTACTGAAGTGAGGCTTCATGTTTAACAAAAAAACAACACCTCATCCATTCTTTCCAGTGACTCGTGACACTTCTCCCATCCATAAAAAAAAAAAAAAACCTCATCCATTCTTTCTAGTGACTCGTGACACTTCTCCCATCCACATGTATCTTAATTAGAGTGAAGTCTTCACTTATAAGACAGTAAGGTAATGAGTTCATTGGTTAGACATTAGGGTTCATAATTCTCAAGGCTGTAGGTGGTGTTCTTGAATGACTCACTTGCATTTTTAAAAACTGCGTACCTTGTTAACAAAGTTAACCTTCACCTGATACACCAGTTTTCTACCGACAGGAGTTTCAAATAGGAAAGATCTTTGAATTGTAGTCCTTCACTTCCCTTCAGAAGTGTTTCATACTCTCCTAAACAAACACTGAAGCAGGTGTTCTCAAGACATACGGTTACTAGCTCAACAAGCAGTTTATTGTAAGCCGCCAAAGAACATCTGTTGATGGCATTATTCCATCCTGTCCTTCTCCCCCCCCCCCATATATATATATAAAAGGACAAAAGTCATTTTTAAAGGAGTGTCTCAACATACCGTTGCATATTCTATCAGTTTATGAGCTTTTTCTTCCAAGGACTTCCTATTTGAATACTCCTTGGCAGATCCACAGTGGTGGGTCACAGATAGCTCTTCACAGCTGATTAAACTGCAGTGTAAAGTAATTCACTGTACTGTGTCTCCTGCTGTATAGCAGACAAAATGTATTCAAACAGGAAGTACTTCTAAGAAAATGTTCACAAAAGAGTTGAACATAACAATGGAAATGGCAAGCGGAAAGGGGACAGAGTTGTTGTTAGTCTCTCTTTTGCAGTGTGTTGGCCTCCCTCTCCTTTTCCTTTGTAAGGGCAAGTGAAGTGGAGCTGCAGAATGATGATACACGATAATCCACAAAGTTTAATCCTCCTTTGATTTCCAGAACAGACAAGATGGAAATGGAATTTTTACTAGTGACTGTGATTAATATGAGATACAGCTGTATTTCAGTGGGAAGTTTACTTATTATTATTTGCAGTTAAATCAATCAATTCCTTATTATTATTATTATTATTATTTGCAATTAAGTCAATCAATTCTCCTTGAACACCTGATTTGTGGCCTGGCATAAAGGATGAACAGTCAGTTTTAAATAGGAAAATCCAAAGTAGCATTTTCTGACAGCAGCAGAAGATAGCTTTCTAAATTCAAGCTCCTGCCAAGAACAATTCGATCCAAGGATTACAGTCAAACTGCTTAATTTCTGGCAGTTCATGGAAATGTGGCATTAATGAAACATTTGGTCCTCTGACAAACTTCTACCCTCCCTGGGTGGTTTGCTTAAAAAGTAAGGGAAACTTTTGTGAAGTCTGAGCTTGATGTGTCCCAGCCAGTGGAAAGAAGAGTCACTTTGTCCTTAGGCATTTTTCAGCCCTTGTGTGCCAAGGACATGCAAATAAATAATCTCAGGGCCATAGTTTTAATATCATGCATTTGTTGTTGCTTGCACCCAAAGAGGACTTGTTTGTACTTAATATTTTGCTTACAAAATAAAGTGGGTTGTTTTGAGGGGGGAAATGCCATTCCTATGAAAGGACTGCTTCATTCCAGCTGTGTGCCACCCTTAAACTTTGCCATCTCTTTGTCGGAAAGAATTTTCCCCCTTCTTTGGGACTTTTTGTTTTATCATATCCTGATGTGTAACCAGTTATTGCTTTCATAGCTCTTTAATAGCTAAGACATTCTGGAGGATATGCAATTTAAAATCTTCTGTGCTCAAAATCTACTTGTTCCTTTTTTTAAAGTGGAAATTGTCCACTCTGTTTTTTAAGTGTTTAGAATTTTCAACTTTCACTGTAGCCTATACAATCTGGATGACCACAGTCCTGTTGTGCAGTGCGTAAGTGCAGTGGTGTTAATTGCAGGAGCAAATTGCCATGAGTTTAGTAGCAGCATAACATTCCTTTGTTGTGCATCAGTCGTGTGAGCTGGTACATGACAACAGATACAGTACAAGCAGCAGTCAAACACTACAGTTTTTCTTGTACTTATTCTGGCCAAAGTTATTTTGATTAAAAAAATAGCCAGATTTAGTGACAAAAAAATTAAATGAATAAATAAATACAGAAAGCAGGCAAGATGACTAACTCATGAATCCCCCTATATGCATCTTTGGTAATATTATACCCAGAAATGTAAATATAGCTGTCCCAGTAATCCTACAAAATAACAGATGCAAATATGCCAGGTGATGTTGGTATGGAAATTCATATATTTACAGGCAATTTACAGTGTTAGACCTGCCAAAAATAGTAAACAGGGCAGGAGTGGGGCATGAACCTAGCCCCCCATGGTTGGATAGCATTGCTACAGAAGGTGGGAATTGCAATCCAAGACTACCTAAGTGGAGGACCCCATAAATTCTCCATCCCTGTAGCAGCCCTTGCAACTTAATCTCAATTAAATGGACAAAAAACCTCCAGAACTGAGCAATTCAGCCTTTTCCCTAGCACAAGTCAGCAGATCATTCTTAAAGGAGGGAACGCTTCATCTGGGGCAATCATTTCATAATTAATGAGAAGCGTATTTTGAACTCTGAATCAGCTTCTTGCTAAACCTAGGCCTAATCCGGAACAGGGAATGCGTGGCCCTTAAGACGGACGACCACGACCTATAATTCCCTTCCACCAGCAGCGCTCCTGCCTAAGCCAGATCGGGCACCGCCGTCTAACAAGCGTGGTTCGCAACCTCGACCCTTCCACCAGCAGCGCTCCTGCCTAAGCTAGATGGGGCACCGCCGTCTAACAAGCGTGGTTCCCAACCTCGAGTCTCCAGATGATGTTGGACTGCAACTCCCAGAAGCCTTCAGCACCAGCTGTGCTGGCCAGGATTTCTGGGAGATGCAGTCCATGAGCCTCTGGAGGGTGCCCTCCGATGTCCTCCTCGGAATCAAAGGGTACAAGAGCAGTAACAGGCCGGCGGGGGGGAGAGAGAGGAGGGGTAGCCTGGGAAGCCAGTTCCCCAGAAAGAGAGAGCGCGACCGGTG